GTACAACACTGACTTGATTATAGACCATTGTTGGGTTTACGTTATCATTCCAGCATCTTGTACCTTGGTGTTTTAGCTGTCAAAAATCTGTTTCTCTGTCAGTTAGGCATGTGTTACAGCACAGATTGAGCCATACCTCACTGTGCTTGAGGAGAAGGACGTGCAGACTGCTCAAAGGGAGGCTGAGGGGATCGTCCCAAGGAAGACTGGTGACAGCGTGTTCTCGCAGGGGTTGGGTTGTGTGTTGTGATGAACACAGCTGGTTGTTCTTTAGTGGTCTCCTGTGCCTTTCTGGTGACATCTGATAGTGGTGGGTCTGTGCTTCTTGTCACCCAGATGTAGTCTTTAGACTCTTCCAGTTCTGGGCCTGGATATGGGTTTTGAGATGCTGTTCTCACTGATATAGCTGAGATTTCATTGTGGTGATGTGTGGTCTCCCAGGAAGTACAGAAACTTGAGGAAACACATCCACTCCCAAAGCACTGAGCATCACATGTAGAGGCAAAGCTGGCTGCAAGGCAGCTCCTGGCTGGGAGTGGCTGACGACAGCTGCCTCTTCACCAGGGCTGTGTCTGCCAACTTCTCTGCATACATGAATCTCACACAGGTTGTGTCAGAGGCCTGGAGATGTGATGCTACAGAAAAAAAAGAAAAAGAAAAAAACCCATTCACTGAGTGCCGGCTACCAGCAGAGCAGGGAGTCCAAGATCCATGGGGAAACTCAGGGCAGCAGGCCCTAAGCTGCTCTGATGGATCACTGCTTTGCTCTGCTTGTGGTGTCAGCCCAAACCCTGGCTGATTACCCAGCTGAGAGTGCTGGTGACTCCACATTCATCTGTGTACAGCCAGCATGGCAGGGCCTGGTGTTTCATGTTTTCTCAGCTGTTGTTTGACATGCAGCTAAGCTGCCGTTGCTGCTGCTGCTGCTGCTGTTGAAAACAGGAGTCTCTCCTCCCCATCAGCCCATTCCCAACCCACTGCCACTTCCCTGGTGTCCCAGCAGAGCAGTCCTCATCCTGCACCCCACTCAGCTGCACTCATGCTCCTAAAAGCCCAGCTATGGGGCCAAGGACGGTAGGAATGAGCTGCTGGGTTGGTCAGCAGAGGTGACAGTGTCTTCACTCTTGCTTTTATCGGTATCACTGCCAGCTTCAGTTGCTGGTCAAACTACTGGTTCACATCTCAGCTATGCAGATGAGCAGAACTGGCCCAGTGGCTCCAGGTGATGCAGGAAGCAGCAGGAAACTGCCCAGCTGTCCCCTTTGCTAGCAACACTGCATCAAAGGAGGGTGAGAGCACAGCAATTGCACTGGTTGTGAATGCAGCTTCCAAACAGAGCTAAGGTGCTGGTGCAGCCCAGTCAGGAAGCCAGCTTATGGAGATCTCACTTGTAGCCATGTGCAGGAGCTGGGAGGGTCTGCCAGAGATGGGGCCAGGTGCTCAGACAGACATCAAGATGAAGTGGCATCCCTGCAACCCCACCTGGGCAGCTGTGAGGCTGACCTGAGCCCCAAGCAAGCCTTGTGCTGCCTCAGGATTTCCAGGGAACCAGCTCTGACAGCCACAAAAGTGTTGGTGGGAAGGGACCTCTGGAATCCTTGCCTACTGCTGGCTGTGATTTAACAATAGCCAGCCATGTCTTCCTCTTATGAGCCCTGAGCCCACTACAGAGGCCTCTGTGTGCCTTCTGCCAGGGTGCTCTGCATGCTTTTGCACGTGGGATGTTCTGATGCAGGTGATGAGGCCCCTGGTTCATCCCATCCTGACTGGCTGCTGAGATGACATACGTTAACCTTCACAGCTATGCAATCAGATGAATCCTGTGCCAAGGCATGCAGGAGTCACAGCTATGGCAGGAAGGCCCCAACAGCTGCAGGCTCAGGCCACAGAGGTGAGCAGCCACTGCAGACTGAAGCCAGATCTGCCTGCTCCTGGGAAAGGTGATTTGAATGGGGCTTTTCCAGAGCATCTGTAGTTCAGGCAAAGTCCAAGCTGTTCTTTTTGCTTCCTAAAGCTCTGAGGTCACCTCCTGGGGAGGAGGATGACTATTGCTAGCGAGTCACAAGCAGTGATCAAAGTGGGGTCAGCAGAGCCAGCCATGACTGATGCCCAGAGGGCTTCTCAGCACCAATGACATAAGCCCTCCACAGAGAATGCTTCTAGAAGCTGTGTCACTAAGTGGGACTTTGATCTAGGACAGAAGAGAAGGATATTTCTAACACAAAAGGATCATGAGTAAAATAACTGGTTTGGTTCTGACCTGCCTTGCATTGTATAGGAAGGGATTTCTCATCATGGGGTGCCATAGGAGCAAGCAGGGTTGCTGAAAAATATGAATATTCATAGCAAAAATCATTCCCTTATCTGGAAAGTGACAGCAACCTCAAAGTGAGTCACAGGCTGCACTCAGAGCTCATGCCTCCAGACATAGCAAAGGAAGAGCACTGGAATGTGGCTGGGGTCAAACACAGCTTCAGTGAATTTCGCATCCTCTTGATGAAGCAGCTAAGGGGAGATTGGCAGGATGGTTCCAGAGGCTCTTCCAGTCTGGCTTTTAAGCATTGTTAATCACAAGAGAAATATGCAAGGCTAAAACCACAAGCTGCAGTTCTCAATTGGAGGCTGCTGGAGGTAGTGGCTGCTTTTCGTCTTCCTGCAGAGGTGTTCAGTGTTACTGACTGACACTGGCTGTGACTATGCTTCTTTCAGATGGTTTGCATCAGAATTTGGAGATGATCTCTTAAGATGCCACCACCTTAGAGTCAAGGTGTGCATCCTACTGAGGAGATCCGTATCTGAATTAACATTCAGTGGATGAAATGACTGCTTCAATTCATTGAACTTGGGCTGGAAATGGTTGGCATTTGTACATGCTCATCTTCACATTATCTGTTAGCTTGCCCTGAATAGACAAAGCTGGATGAACTTTTCCTTCTTTACCTGTGATTTAAGAATGGGCCAGCAACTCTGTAAGTTCAGCGCTGAGGATGGCTGCTTCAAGGCACCAGCACTGGCTGGGTACCAGGGGCAATGGGAGGGTTCAGACTTCCCCAGCAGCAAGGTTTGCCAGCATCTTCTAACCATCAGCTTCACCCTGGCATAAGGAGAACTGCATATGTGCGTCCTTTACCAGGTATTAAAGACTACACTTCTCCCTCACAGTGAGAGTCCATCATTGGAGTCCTAAAAAGTGCTAGAATTTAGCAGGCAGTCATCTCTTGTGAGGCCTTCACTAAACACTTGCTGTGATTGTGAGACAAGGTTTGTACAGGGGACATGGAAAAGCGACATGGAAAAGTGACACGCAATGGCATTTCAGGGAGCCTTGTGCTTTGGGAACTTCTCTGGAGGGGATTGCTTTTCAGCTCCATCCCACAGCCCAGGGAAGCCGTGTTGTAAACATGAGCTATTGGCAGAGCTCTGCAGGTTGCTTATGAGGACAAAAAAAGCTGTTCTTTCCTCTCTTCCCCTTCCAATACCAGCTCTCAGGGCAGCTAAGTCTTCTCTCTGGTGCTATGCCAGTAGGCAGGAGATAAACATGCAGTTATATTGTGATTGTTGGTGCCCTTCTGCAAGCTGTACATCAGGAAAATATGGGAATTTCATGTTTTACCTTGTAGGAGAGGAGATGGATGCACATGTGTTGATCTTTGTGGCAACAGATTTACAAAAACAGAGGTGTAGACTGCTGTTATCCTTAAGTACCGGCAGGGTTCCCTAAGCAATGGATGATCTAACTTTTGCAGGCCTGGGCCACAAAGATGTCCATAGCCTTGCACAAGGCAGGCTGCACTGTGCTGATTGGTATTTGCATGCAGTAAATACTGAGCAATACTTCAGGGAATCTCTTCTTCATTAGATGCCTCCTCAATGCTCTACAGCTGAGGTCATGCCTCTAAGCCACTTAGTGACCTCAATCAGTGGTTCATTCCCATCTATCCAGAAAGATGCTTTGAACAGTGGTAGGTTCATGCGGAGATGTCACTGATTTCTCCTCACCACATTTTCTACTCCCTCTCAGCCCAGTAAGCATATTTGCATGCAGAGCTGGGCTCTGCACTGCTGTCATGCCTCTGGGAGGGTGATGAAGCTGGAAAGCTTTACTCGTTGTCACTGCTGGGACAGGAGAGAATCTCCTGGTTATAAAGGTATCAGGAGAGGTCCTTAGGCTGTGAAAGAAGAGCCCTAGTATAGCAGAGCCAGTAACACTTGGATCAAAGCTTCTGGTAGCAAGGATTCAGCCTAAGGGTAGTTAACCCAAGAGTCCTGGAGAAGTGGCTTATTATAATGCTGAAGAACAAGCACATGCAGTATCTATAGACTTAAAAACCTCCTGGGAACCATAATCTGCTGGCTTAAGTCTCCCACCGTGTTCTTATGGGTGGTAGCTGTGGTGCAGTATTAGTTACAGGTGCTTCTCCCTACTCTCAGCTCCATCCTTTCTGCTCTTAGCAGGCAATTAAAATTTATCTTATACTCATGGTGTGCCACGGTCACAAACAGCAGAGATGGCATCTACCCCTTCTAAGGGGCTTATGAATTTCTGCATTAGGCAGAAATTTAACAGTTTTGAGTAGTCACGGGAGCTGATCTGGCTTCCACACCAAACCTCATGCACTCAGTCACAGATACTCACACCATAATACAGAGGAGGTAGTGATAGACTTTCAAACCCCATCTTCTTCCCTGCCAGCACGCTCTGCCCACATGCAGACTCCCTTTGAGCTGAAGTAATCAGGCAGAGATCAGTGTCGGGGGCACCGCTTGCACCAGATCCAGTCCTATCCCTACCATCTGTGTGTAAAGTAGGGGCTGAGTTGGTGCAGACTGTGCAGCCCCTCCCTGGCTCTGCTTCTTGGCTGCACCAAGTCTGGCCCCACAGCAGCAGGGATCCGTGCCAGGTCTCAGTGCCACACAGACCCCTGGAACATCATCCCTGACAGACATACTGGTACCTTAGGAAAATCCTGTGTCTCTTCCTGACACTCTGTCTCTCGCAGTTTTGCAGCTACGGCTTCAGCAGAGAAGGACCCGTGAGCAGCTGGCAGACCAAGGCATCATGCCACGTGAGTACCATTTTCTGCCTTTTTCACCCACCTGTGGATCTGGGGGTCAGTGTTCCTCCTGGGCACTGCTGGGATGCTCTGTGGCACCAGCTGCCTGCTCAGATCCCCAGTGCTCTGAGCAGATTGCTGCTGAGCTGGGCTTTGCTTCCAGCCCGGTAACAATACTGTGCTCTGTGGTGCTTTAGAGTGGTGCTCAGCATTTGCCATGCAAGATACAGTGCTGCTATTCAAACTGAATTTAGGATTGCTGCTTAGCTTACACCATCCAAAAACTGAGCTGCATAGTGCCCTGTCCCAGAGGTCACAGTGGCAAAGCAAAGCACTTTGCAAGGGCAGAGCATCTCACATCCTCCTGCAGAAGTCAGGAGCTGCTGTGGAAGGGTCAGACCCACAGTACAGGGAAAAGTTGGAGAGGGATGCTAGAGTTCAAAATGTGTGTGAATGAAAATCCCCTTCTGCACAAGCAGAAACCTGTAGCATCTGTAGAAACAATCATGAAACCTGTAGCACTACTGAAGAAAAGCTCAGGCCCCATGTGCATGAATCTGTGATGATCTGGGTCCAGGTGAAGGACAATCCTGGAGCTTTCCATCTTATCATGGGGGTCTCTGCTAAGATCACAGCTTTCCAGAAGCTGTGCCACGTTTGTCTCTTCTGGCTAACCTCAAAGACTGTGATGCAGGTTTTGTTTAACCAGCAGAACAAAAGCTCTCTAGGATCATGGTTCTAGCACTGCCTGCTGCACCCTGCTCATCCCTCTGCTGCCCCTCTCTCATGCAGCTGCCTTCCTAAAAGACCCTGTTGAGGGAGCTGGCAACAGATGCCTTCTCATTACACTGTTGCCAGCATCAAGCATTAAAAAAACTCAAGCAAGATGATAAAAATCACATCTGTCAGGGTTTTAGGAATTATAAATTAAAGCTCTTCTCATTTTTCCTGTTTATTTCTATGGGCATTCAGATTCTGTGCTGCCTGCCGCCAGCAGGCAAGCATTTTAACTGTGGGACTCCGGGAGCTGGAGATTTGAGCAAAATGTTGTGGCATTTGTGATAAAATTTCAAGCACTGGCAATACAGTCAGTGGCCAGAAGTATGTCCAGTGTCTCCAAACCTGCTTATTTCATTCTGTACAAGTGGTCACACTCAGTGTGCAGCTTACCCCTCTGCACGTGTACAAACACAGCAGTTTGTGTACCTGATGCTGCGCTGCAGGGCTGGGCACGTGGGGCAGTTACTGACAGCTTCTTTACCCTTCCAGCTTCTAAGCTGTCATTTTACAATCTGCTTTCTGTTCAAGGAGACCATTTCGGGAAGCATGAGCACAGCTCAGTCACTAAAAATATTTTAAAAAGAGGCACTTTTGCCATTGTAAAAGCAGACATGCAGAATCCAGCTGCTGAATTTAACCTCAGGAGAAAGTGTAAGACGCTGGTGTTGGACAAGTGGGAATCCCAGCCAACTTCCCTGTGGTCTGGGCATGTGCAGTCAGTTCTTATGAAAAAGTCTTTGTTTAACTTCCCATGTCCTGTCAGCTCTGAAGAGCTGCAGATGAGATGGGCTGTAAGAGCTGCACCAGGGTGGGATATTGATTCATATCCATTGCAGGTGGGCAAGAAATGAATATAGATGGTTGTGAGTCACTGTGGTTGAGAGTAGCTCATCTGGAAAGAGAACAGAGGGTCATTGCTGGTCTCTGTGCTGAGTCAGGTTTGGTGCCAACCTAGGAACACGTGCTTGATTCCATGTTGCAGGTCAGGTTTTATACAAAAAATGTCACATTTTCAGCTCATGCAGTCACAAGACTAAGAAACTTTGGTTTTTTTTAACTGATTCATTTTATATAGAAACCACAAAAAGAGGTGAAAGATTAGCACTGGATAAAAGCCTTGAGGGCTTGCTGAAACCCTTGCTGATGACCATCCACAGAACCTGCTGAGCTGTTCAGCAGTGTGGATTACAAGCACAGTAAGAGTGAAACTTCAGAGGAACTGAGAAAGCTGACTTGCTTTGGGTACTGAAGTCAGCAGTTCAGGGTGAAGTAATGGTGGTACCTGAGCAAAATGCAGTTAGATGGATGTCCTTACCTAACCAAAGCCCGTTCTGTGTCTGGTTTGATTGGGCAAGATTAATGCCATCAGAGCCTTAGCTCTCTTCCTTTGGATGATTGTCTAAGAAATGTGAAACCTTCAGATGGTCCCATCACTGGAGAAGGCAGGAAACTGCCGAAAGGAGGCTGCTGAGGGGCAAAAGGCAGCAGTGCTGCTCTTCTGGACCAGGCTTAAAAGTGAACTCTGATGGTCAGAAGTTTGCAGGTTGCACATTGAAAAACTGGCAGGCAGACAATAAACTAACATAAAAAGCTCTACAAATAATGACAAGCACTGACTGGTAAGCAGGGGCAGCCTCTGCGTCCCTTCAGTCCCATGAGTGTGGGGGGAGGATGCATCCGAAAGCAAGGGAAAATCTATGTTTACTGAGACAAGACCACATTCCTGATGCAGGTATGTGTGCAGGTGAGAGCAGAACTTGTCCTGTTCTTCAGGCTCACTGAGTGAGAAATTCTTAGCTCATGCAGCACTGTATTACTGAACTCATGTCATTTTATTGTCTTAGTGAAACTGAAACTGGCCAGGCAAAATCTTTTAATTCAAGAGCATCCTTCTGCAGATGAGAGGGCTGCAGGGACAAGTGGGGATGAAACCTTCCTGCATCCCGACCCAGGGGCTGCCCCAGACCCCAACCAGATCTGCCTAAAGGGAAGAGGTGGCAGTTTGCATCATCAAGGATTCCTCAAGGAAAAGTTCTCCCCAGTGCGATAGGATACAGAAATAGCTGTGCTTGAAGTAGGGACCCTTCTGCTGTATGCAGCCACCACCTCATCCTCTGACTTGAGCCTTACAGTCAGTAGTCCTAAAATTATCAACACCGAGCACAGCTCTGCCCTGTTGCCTCCAGACCTCAGCCATTTCAAGCTGCCAGGCCATTGCCTGACGAGGAGTCTGAATAACCAGTGTTAGCAATGTCTTCATTTGTTTTTTCAGACTAATACAAGCTGCAGCATCCACATAATTCCTCCAAAAATCTTGGTAAATGGCTAAATTCTGCAACATTTTCCTCATGAATAGCATGGTGTTTGACTGGTCAGTGTCCCTAGCAAGCTCCCAGTGTCAGGACTTCAAAGTGAATGGAGCTGTAAAAGTCATTTCTCTTGCTACCTTCATTTTCTTGTATGCACCATTTTATTTTGCTTCTGGTTAAACTAGCTGTCACCAATCCTCATGGCTGCTCACTGGAGCATGGCACAGTAATGCTGGCTTGTCTGTATGTCGCTTTCCAAACATGAGAAGCAGGAATGTGTTTTGCTGTGATTCCCTGGAGGTTAGGGATATTGCCTAACCAAAAGCCAAGTCAGGCCCCCAATCATTTTGCAGCTTCCCTCATTCTTTTCATCGTCCTTTTCTAGACTGATGCAGGACATCATGTCCTGTGTGAAAATAACTTCTGTCCTCATTGTATCCCACTCACAAGATGGGAAGGGAATTCAGTGTTGCCGAACAAAGAGTTGTAGCAGGCTGTCTTTGTGGGTCAGGACACCTTCCCCTTCCCCGTCCCAATGGGAACAGTTCATTTTGCTTGCTTACACAGACAGACAAGAATTTCTTCAGGGACTGAGAAATATTAACCCCTTCACCACACAAATTTCTCTTCAGTTTCTATAGAATCAGGCTAAACAAGGAAGTGTGCAGGGTCCTCCTTGACTCAGCACAGACTGCTCTCACTGGTCCAAGACCCAGGGATCATTTGCCTTCCTTTTGGGACCTTCTCTGGGTTAATCCTTAGTTCCAGTAGATGCTAAGATCTGTCTGGTCCTGGCCAGACAGCTGCCCAGGGAAGCACCATGTCACACCAGTGCTTCTGGGCAGAGGGCAGGTCAGTGTCCAGAGAGAAGGAGCCAAGAGAAGATGGAGGGGTGGCCAGTGATGGAAGAAGGACAAAGGAAAGCAGCTCCAGGGTCCTGGTTGCAGCACCCTTGCTGGAGGCTGTAATCCCATGGCCCCAAGTGGCCAGGCAGGTCTTTTCCTTTTTTTCTGCTGGCCTCAGTCACCTATAGGTGTTACTTGCAGGTGATGTCCCCTCAGCCTGATGCTCTCCCTAGATCAGTTTGCCAGGCCTGTGGTGCCCCCCAGTCCCATTACCTGCAGGAGGAGCTCCAGGAAGAGCAGCACTTGCTCTCCAGCACATCCCCCTAAGTAGCACATCCCAAAGCCTGCACATCTCCCTGCCCATGTTCCTCCTGCACTCCCCGTCCCCTGCTCTCTTGCTGTGGCCTGGCAGAGAGCACAGGATTTCCCAGAGCTTTCCTGAGTTATTTTTAGTTAGTGCAATAAAGAGAGCAGCTAGTTTGTGTTGCTATTTTTATAGCACTCATTAAAATGCTGTTGCTGAATATCCTGGTGGCTGCTTGCTTCCACTCCTGTGCTGACTGCTCCTCTCTCTTTCCTGTTGCAGCACTGAAAAGCCCATCCGCATTCCATGAACAGCGAAAAAGTCTGGAGCGAGCCAAGGTAATTCCTACTGCCATCCCAATAAGTGAACACATGGGCTCGCTTTGCATGAGTTGTGGAGTTCGAAAAGCACCTTTCACCACCCTGCCCTCATCTGGCTTCCTCTAGCAAGGCCCTATGGCCACAGACAAGGGTCAGGGCATCTCCCTTGCTTCAGACACGCTGGGGTCAAGCCAGAGTTCATGTGTCTAGGAGCACCCTTCTCCAGGCAGGGGGTTTAAAATTGCAGAGGGGACATCTGTCCCCTGAGCTTGGGGGTTTTAAAACAGTCCCTGGGCTTTACAAGAGCTTAAGGCAGGTTTCAGCCTTCCAGTAAACCTCCAACTACATAAATGTCCAACTACTTCAAGCCTCTGTTTTCCTTGCAGGGCCATATCCACGGCCCACTTCATGCTGTGCTGACTGCTCTCCACTCCCGCACAAGTCAGGGCATAGAGTACAGTCAGCATCAAACAGGACAGATGAGAAGCTAAGTATTTAGCAAGTGTGCAGGAGCAATGCGAGATGTCACCTGGAGAAAGTCCCCAGGAGGCTCATACTTGCCATCAGAGAGGACCTTTAGTCAGTAGCACTGCTGGTCCACTGCGATATCCCAGGGGCTAAGTGAGCCCGTCTCACACTCACCCCATTGCCTATCTGCACTCCGGCTTCCCAAAATATTGCTGAAGGCAGGGACGAGATAAGTAGCCATTTCCAGAGCACATTGAAACTCTGCAATGCGATCACACTTTGGAAAATCACACCAAACACTTTCTATAGCACCCAGCATGCAGCCCTGACCAAGCTGGAGAGATGTCTGCACACAGCATGGCAAAGGGAATAGTCACACCGGTTTCTCTTGAACACAAAAGCTTCTTCCATTAGTCTGCAAAATATGCTTACAGTCACATGGAAAAGGCTTTTGCAAGAAAGTATGGCTGTGAAATATGGAGAAGTGCTCTCCTGAACTTAAACACACTCCAAATCACTTGCCCTGAGACTCCAGCAGTAATAAATGGCTAGCATAAGAAACACAGTCTGACTCTGAAAAATTAGCGTGCTTACGAAATTTCAAGCAATCCAAAGTATCCCTGAAGTGTCATATATTTTACATTTTTGTATACATTTGTGTCTCTGTCCTGCTCTTCAAAGGCTTTCACTGGCTGGTTGCCTGGGGGAAAGCAAAGGATGGTCTAGTCTATCCCAAACTGCATGCATTTTTAGAGCATGCTAATGAGCACACTGATGAACACAGCCTATAACAAAAATATATTCCTTTGCAAGGATGCCCTGCTTGTAGCCCTGACAGGAAAGGAGCAGCAGCTGTTTCCAGATAATTATTCAATAGCATTTGTTGTTTAGCTGATATTCCTTCAAACTGATGTTCTGCAAACAGAAAGCAGATAACAACAGTGATGGCTTTCATGTGTTTTGAAAGCTCTTCTGCTTCAACTGATGCTAAAAAGAAAAAACACATCTGAGGTCTTTCTCCACTGTTTGCACCCCAGTGACACAAATACAGCTCATAGACAGTAAAAGGTCAAATGGAACTGTAATCACAGCAGAAAGTCAGGCTAGCATGGTGCCAATGCAGGAGTCAACATGATGGTATCACGTCTGGAGGACAGTAATTCAGATTTAGCTCAAGTGAGGCCTTGATCTGACAGAGAAGTGAGTTGGGTGAATGTAACTGCACCCAAATGCAGGCATCATCCAGCTCTAAGCTGGCACAGAATCCAGGCAGACCTACAGGTGGTCCAAAGCAAGGGATTGTGATGGTGAAAATAAGCTGGGGAAGAATTATGGGGGAAGGGGAAGAAATTGCAAAGGCTTCAGTAAATAAAATGTCTATTATTTGTTTAAACATGTCACTGGCTACGGACGAGGCTGGCGTTAGGCCAGGGCAGCAGACTTTGAAGTCGATGTCCTGTGGTAGATTGCTGGGCTGGAGGACAGAGGCTGTCTGGCTCAGCTTACACACAGCCTCTGCCTCACAGCAGCACAGCCCCAGCTAGGTCATTCCTGACAGATGTGCAGCAGCCAGCAGCCATCCCATCCACCCCCTCAGCAACCCTCTGCACTGCACCCTAACCTAACCTGTGCTGTTACCATATCTTCCCTGCTTCCCAGCCCAAGCTTTTCAGTTGCAGCTTAAGCCCATTACTTACCCTTCTACAAGCGTGGACAAGCAGAGCCATTTATTTCTTTCTGTGCACCACGTTTTACAATTATTTTGCACCCTGTTTCCCTACAGTAGGCGCATCTCTGAGCTGATCAGTCTCCTTTCCTCAGTCTCTCCTCATTGATCCCATTTCTGACTCAATGATTACTGCTGCTGCCCACCAGGCCCTTCCCACGTGTTCTTTCAGACGCGGGTCCCAGAGCAGGGTCTTGCTATTCCTTGTGTCCATTTGACATTCCCTGTGGCATTCCCTAGAAAGCTGCCTGCCAGTCCAATTTCTATCTAAGGTCACTGCCCACCGAGCACAGCAGAAACATCTCTGGTGGATTAATCTTCATTCCTTCCAGTGCTTGTGCAGCTGCCCCAGCTGATGCTAGCTGTGACCTGACCATGGTCATATTGTCCTTCTTTAACTGTATCCAATGAATTTCGGATGATTTCTTCAATTACTCCAAATCATTTTCTATTGCAATCTGTTAGTCTTGAATGAATCAGAGTTAAGCAGTATGTCTTCTATCATCCAAGGCATTAATGAAAAAATTGAATAGTAGGAAGAATTGCTGCAGAACATGATTTGATATATTCTTATGTTTACACTGTGAACCATTCCTAACTCCTTTGGTGACCCACAGTTATGCTCCTTTTTTATGCTTGTCTTATCCAGATCAAATTCTCTGGTTTGAATATGAGAAAATGAGATAATGTCAAAACATGCTTAGAGTCAAACTTTGTGACATACTTTGTTTATTCCTGTAACAGAAATCTGTCATCTCTCCATAAAAGGAAAATAGTTGCTGTGGTATCTTTTGTTCTTGGAGAATCCATCCTGGCCGTTACTCACCTCCTTGCTATCTTCAAAATCCCTTTATATAGATTGTTTGATTACTTGTTCCAATATCTCTCTGATTGGAGTCGTAATTTCCAGGTTTCTTCTCTCCGTCTCTTTTAAAGCAGTAAATTATGCTCTCCCTGGCCCAGCTTCCTGGAGAACCAGAGATTGTTGCTGTTAGTCCAACCTGTATATCTTTTACCACAGGTTTTCTAATTTTCTCTAGCTGCTTGTGTTATTTTATATTTATCCTGAAGAGTTTAAACCTTTTTAAAAATGTGTATTTTTTTATACTATTTCTTCTAGCACCTCAACTTAGCAAACAGCTGATAATTAATCTAAGTTATTCTTTAGCTCTTCTTCACCAGGTAGTAAGCTTGCATCTGTAAATTTGAGGTCAACTGCCCCCAGTACCGACTTCCTTGGCACAGAGAAAGGTGTTTTTACACCTCTGTGTGCCCTTCTGTTCCTAAAGCCATGAAGAATTGGGTACAAGCTCATCACAAGCTCAGCTGCAGTGATCTGCAAAGTGTTTTTTCCCAAACCCGCACTACAGATGGGGTAGATGGGGTGAGGAACTGCAGAGTATGTAGCTGCAGGAAGACTAAGTCTTGTGGTTGACCTGGGGTGAGTGTCTGGGTATCCTCATGACCTGCTCAGCCTTGTATCTCATTGCAGAGTGACAGGCTTCCCACAGAAGTAATTGCTAAGACTACACCATGGCACTGCTGTAGTGCAGCTCTCAAAGATGATGTGGGTTGCTGAGCCAGCAGATCTGCCCCTCCCAGTAAGCAGGGCTCTTCCTTCCCATAAACTCTCATAAGATCTGAGGGTTTAGAAGCCCAAGGATAATTGGCCAGGACACGGTGTAGTTGTGAGGATAGTGAACATTCAGCAGCTCTGTGCATGTTGTTCCCTTTCTGAAGAACTTCTGTTCAAGAATCAGCCAGTGTCCAGGTGGAAAAAAATGCCATCTGGGAGCTCACTCAACCTAAACGGTAATAAATCCAAAAAAACATGGGACAGTACAGAGGCACCTGCTCTCTGTACCTTATTGATGCTCCAGTCAGGTAACACTCTCTGCATTTGTGTTCTGCAGACTGAAGATTATCTCAAGCACAAGATCAGAAGCAGGCCTGAGCGATCAGACCTGGTCAATATGCACATTTTACAAGGTAAGACTGCCTGGGATTCTCCTACATTCTTATGTCTCCTGCCCCACCTGAGTTCCTTTCAGGACTCTCGTTACTATTTACTTTGCCCCAGCTGCTCATGAGGGCCACTGTCAAAAGGGACATGCTGTATAGTAGCCAGTCCAGATCCCGTCTTTGGGTGGAAGACACACTTTTCCCCTGTCAGGAGGAGACCCAAGGCCTTTCTAACCTTTGTTCATCTCCGGCAAGGACCAACGTGAGATGGTCCAGAAGACAGTAGGCTAGAAAACAACTATGAAAGAGAACTCTGTTAAAGGTGCAGAGGTCCTGCGCTTCTGGAACGGGTTGCCCAAGGAGGCTGTGGATGCCCCATCTCTGGCGGCATTCGAGGCCAGGCTGGATGTGGCTCTGGGCAGCCTGGTCTGCTGGTTGGTGACCTGCACACAGCAGGGGGTTGGGACTGGATGAGCGTTGTGGGCCTGTTCAACCCAGACTGTTTTATGATTCTATGATTCCAATCCTCATGAAGTGCAAACTTTGGGCACCTGTGGTAGCACACAAGCCTTGTAGCAGGTGATTCTCATATCTTCCCAAAGCTGGACGTGCTTTTTATTTTTTTGCCATAATTCTTATGGTGATGCTGAACAAAACGAAATGAAAGCTGATGGAAATAACAACCCTATAGCATTGCTATATGAGAAGGTTGAGCTCTGCTCTGCCTGTGCATTTTCCCCTTCCCCAGCCTGATGTCCCATTGCAGCCAGGAAGCTGGCGGTGCTCTGCTGCATCCCATCACAGGCAGCAGATCTCTGCAGTGTCCCCCATTCTCTCCAGAGATAAGGAGCTCCTTTGAGACAGGGAGGATTGTGCAGTCTCCCTCCTCGAACCCTGTCAGTCCCCAAGAAAAAGCAGATTACTTTCTGGTGACTGTAAAGGCTGGCTCCTGCTCACTCTGTGGATAAAGTCCATATTTCTTTTTCCTCTGGCATGCTGGAGGTCTAAGCCAGGAGTCTGATAGATTCATGCCAATGCCATCCTTTAACTGTGTCTCTCCATCCCTAAAATGAGCCAGCGTCATTGCCCGTTTAACAGGTAGAAGTGTCTTTCCCTTAGGTTAAGCAAGTACAGACTGGAATTGGGCTGGAGGCAGTAGAAGAGATGTGGAGCTGCAGTCACTGAGCACTGATAGGGCTGGCCAGACACAGGGGTGGTGCAGAGCATGCCTAGTTGTGCATGGAGCACCTGGCTGTGCTACCCCACACACACTTCTGGGCTGAGGCCTCTACTCACTCATGGGGATGTGCCCTGGAGTATCATGGGCTTATCTACCCAGCTGGTTCCTAACAGGACACATAGGTGATTGAAATGGGGCAGCTGGAATATGTGCCATCATCTAAATGCCTTCCAGACACACCTTCTGTTACTGCTCACCTCAGGGACCTCATGTGGGTTCCACACAATCTAGTCTGAGGCCAGAAATGACTTACATCAGCTCTCCTGACCTCCTGCAGAGCATTATTCCCTGGTATCAAGCTTGTGTTGAGCACAATATCTCTTCCATAACAGTGTCTAGTCTTTGAAGGCAGCATAGCTTAGGTGCAGCCCTTCTTAGTTTTGACCCCCAAGGAGTATTGCAGTCTAGTTTAGGATCTTGCTCCCTCTCTACCCAAGCTGATGCTATGAGAGGAAACAGAACATCTTTGTTTGGGGAATTACTGTTTGCTATGGTAATTGGTTACTGCTCTGTCACCTCTCAGTAAGTGGGAGCTTCTCAGATGGATTTGGTTTGGCAGTAGTTTCCAGATCTAGCTGCCTTTATTATGCTCCTCTCCACCAACTTGTTTTTCTGGAGGCCTGGAACAGTGTCCTCACACTGCCTCTGAATGTTCCACTCCTGAAGCTTCAGCTTTTTACCTTCCAGAGCAAGGCATTTACTCCAATTGTCAAACACTGTTAATGGTTCTTTTCTCCAGCTGTTCCACAGAAGTACAGATCTGCATTAGACCACAAGAGCCACTGGGCTCCTGGCAGGCAGGAGGCAGAGTCCACTTAGCCTCTCAAATCAGTCACAGCTTAATGAAGTTTCCATTGCAGATCATTCCTGGGCCTTCGGAAGGATGCTTCAGCTGCTGGCTGGGTTTGAAAGCCTAGGTTAGAAAACAAAGGCTTTTAATTGGGCATAGAGAAGCTTGACCTCAGGCTCAGGGTCAGGCTCAGGCTCAGATCCACATCCCAATGCCCCATCTTGCCTCCAGCCTCAGAGCAGCTCCTGCTGGACACTGAGCTCTGCTTGTGTCTTGGCTGCAGCCCAGAAATGCAGTGTTGAGGGGAAGCATGCTCTCAGCAAGCAGTGTGCTTACAGATGGCCCTGGTCCTGAACTGATACCTTCCATTTGGCCTTTTAGACTCAGCTGCAGAGGGGTCCATTCAGTCCACTCAAATGAAGCTGAAAAGAGCCCGACTGGCAGATGATCTCAATGAAAAGATTGCTCTCAGGCCGGGTCCTTTGGAGCTGGTGGAGAAGAATATTATTCCTGTCGACTCAGCTGTGAAAGAGGCCATAAAAGGTAGTGGAAGTGAACGTGCATTTTGTGTTGTGTGCATGGCACGGGGCAGGGGCCGGAGAGATTACAAGGACACACAGCAGTGACTGCCTGGAGCTAAGAGTAGCAGCTGCACATTACTTAAATTTCCTTATTTTCACAGTAAACTGTCCAGTCCTACACAGCCTTACTTGGGTCCATGAAAAGAGAGTTTTCATCTTAGGGTATCTGTGATGGAAACACAAATCATTTTTCAGCCATGTATTCTCAGGGAGAATGCATCCTTTCTTCCCCCGCCTGCCCCATCCAAGACTTTGAGTTCATAAATAACACTGCTGGAGAGAGGATGTTCCTTCCTCACTGATATGGGAGAGGGCTTGGGCTCACACATGCAGACATCAGGCCAACCTGGCCCTGCTTGTGCCCTGCCAAACTCTTACATCCCAAGCCCTGGTTCAGTGAGGCTGCTGCTTTGTTTTTCCACTGATGTCAGTGGAATGCAAGGTCCAACAGAGTAGAGGGAAAGGGGTGCCAGTCTTCTGGGGAACACAAGGAGCTGATTGCATCCCAAAGGAGAGTATTCTCTTACTATTTCCCAGTGCTTAGTTTATGCCTAAACTTAGTGTTCCTCCACCACCCACATCCCAGCTAGAGGGGGGAGGCAGGATCCCTTGCAGTTATTTCCCCCGTGCTGCTGCAGGAAGGGCAGTGCATGGGCTGAAACAGAGGAGACTGGTGACTCAGAGTTCACCAGTGCCAAAACAGGGAGATCTGAAAACAGAGAGAAGAGCAGGAAAGCCTGCAAGGTTGTTCAGTGCCAGCCCAGCAGCCCGTATTTCTGATGTCTGGGCTCATCTCTGTGTCCAAATTGGACCTCAGGCCTCAAGTGGGGCACTAAGAGCTATTCTGCCTCCAGGAACTCCTTGTTCTGTTGCTCCTCATTCCTAAATACACGGGATTATTTCCATTGGCATAATCCCATGACAAGTATCTATTCTGGGCTGAGGGAAAAACAGGGACAATGGCAGAGCTCTGGGACAGGAGGGGTCTTTGAACAGCAGGAGCAATGCAGAAAATGGGAACTGAGGCAGGAAGTACTTTGACTTTGGTTTCATCTCAGAAACCAGCAGATACAGCGTGAAACAGTGCAGGCTTAGACAGACCTCTTCCCTGTCCTCCAGTCATTCCTGCTCTTCGTTTCCCTGCTGCAAAGCGCACGTGGGGCACGCGCGGCAGTTTCTGCAGTCTGGTTCTTGAGCCACACCATTTGCAGCATTTCACAGCTCTTGCCTTTGAAGGTGAAATGTTCCAGGACTCTGTCTGAAGAGGAATTTTTAGGGAGAGTTCAAGCAAAATCTCCTTAGCCACTTATCGAAGGAGAGAAGAGCGAAAATACAAAACCATTAAAAAAATCCCTCCTCTTATAAACAATCAAGGCAGTTTGAGCATGATTCACTGGAGCTGGAGGCTTGGAGGCCAGGCAAAGCGTGCTTGAAGATTTTGAATGTTTCTTTCCATCTGCCTTGTCTGCAGCTTGTGGTAAGCAGAGATTTACAAGACAAAATTGTTAAAAACAAAAGTCTGGCTTTAAATCATTTGCTCAATTTTGAAATTTCTCTCTTTCATAATCCTCTTCTATCAATCACATGCTCAGGAAATACGTCCTGGAGGCCAGTTTTATCCCACTTTGGGTGAAACGTGCAGCATGTAAGGTCAGGCATTTGGGCATTTGGGTGCCATCAGAAGCAAGGCTGAAGCTGCACCAGGGCCCTCAGGTTTCTGTAGAAGAAGCCACAAGCTGAGGGATCCTCAAGCTGATTTTGAAAGTTGGAGGCAGTTTTCTGTGCTCGTGCCTTGGGGCTGAAGGTTGAACAAGGAGCAGAGATGAGCACTGGCACTTTTGAACGTTAAGCCTTTTGTTTTTGCAATACCAGAAAGATGACAGGATTTAAAATCGTTTTCCTTTAACCTTGGAATCTCAACTGTTTATACAGCGGAAAGTTCAGCTGACGTGTTCCTCTAATCACCTCCGGCAGGGTGAGCAGAAAGTGCCAGACCCCAACAGAAAGCCCTAACGTCCCAGTGACAGGAGGCAGCCAGTGCCCTACATAGCTGAGCAGTGATATAAGAACCTTTTTTTATCAGGTCCTTGTCATCACTTTGTCCAATATGTTTGAGAGGACAATACCCAGTGCATTAGAAACAGCCCCAAGCAAACACCATTCTGCCTGAGATTACAGCAGAGACATGGGATCATGAAATAACATGGCCAGCCCCGGGCTGAACGAGAGCAACAGATAAGGGCAGCACTCCCTGCTCCATGCAGGCCCCCAGTATCAAACAGCAGGATGCAGCACATTCCTGTCATGCTTCAGGCTGCTGCTGTGTCCTGAAGGTCCCCTGGACTCTGTGCTTTGGTACGTTTTCTCCTCACATGTTTATGGAATGCCAGCGCAGTGGAAGTCTTGCAGATCCCCAAGTCCCTTTTTCTTGGACTGATTATTCCCAGCAGAGGATGCCCACACTTGTCTGTAGACATGGGGAGCAGCTTCCACCCAGTCTGGGGAGCAGACTGCACTGCCTTGCACTTCCTCAGGGAAGGTAAAGCTTGGGTACCGTGTCAGATGGCAGCTGTAGAGGAGAGAGGACAGGCCCTATCTCCAAACACAAGGAAGAACACCAGGCCCTGTGGAGCAGGAGGAGAGAGCCCCTCCCCAGCACACTATCGATCTCATATCCCTGTGCCTGTCTGCCCCAGAGTTGCCATGGCAAGGATGCTCTTGGGTTGTCCAAGCAGAAAAAGCAACTTCTCTTCAACACCAGGGTCCCAGAGGAGGCTGGTGCTGGTGATATGCACAGCACTCAGGATGGGGACAGGCAAATAGGACACAGAGCCATGTTATCACAGGATACCAGCAAGCGCTGTCTATGCGGGATCTCTTCCCAACAGGAGCTCACGGCAGGCAGCACACCCTCCACAGGGGTCCAGCTGCTGCTGGTGGCTCAAAGAGCCTTCCTGAGGCGGGCAGCCAGGGCTCACCCACCCTGGCACCACGAGCTGGGGCAAGCAGAGATAACCTTTATCTTTCAGATAGGGCAGGGGTCAGAGCAGGAGGGTCCGTGTCAGTGAGAAGGTGCACATTGCTAGACCAGCAGCACAGACAGGTGGAGGTTTGTCCCCAGACCCTTCCTATTTCCCCATTTGTCACTTTGCTATCAGTGTGCCAAGCTGCCTGACAAATGCCAGATGTAAGCACGAGGAGATTATGAGCATGGCCATGCTGCTCCTTCCTCTACCCCCACCTGCAGCCCTCCCAAGCCTCACATGAGAGCTTTTCTTTTTCAACACTTCATTTATCAGTAAAAGCCTGGGGTCAAGAGCTCTTGCCCATCTGACTAGGAGATAGTATGCTGGGAGCTTTGCAGAGGGGAGAAGCAATGTCTGGGGCAGGCTTTGTGGCAGTCAAGAAGTAATGGCAGCGACTTGAAGCATTTCATGTGAATGAAGCTCGTGGACAGACACCAGACCTGGAAGCCTCTGTCCAGATGTTGACTCTTTTGCCAGGAAAGGCTGTGTCACCCTCCAGGTGGATTTCACCTTCAGTTCTTCTGCTGAGGATGGAGTTCCATAAGTGTAATCAAGATGCTTGGCTGATCAAGGAGACCCTTGCCCCTCTCGCCATTGCAGTCCAATGGCAGGATAGGGTAGCCAAGCTACTCCTGTGCAGCCCAGCAGGCCTGTAGTCTCTGAGAATGCCTCCTGCTCTGCCAGGCCACGCTTCTCCTAAGAAATGTGTTACCCACCAGCTTCCTTCATTCAGGCATTGGGCCACGGCCTGCAGGCTCCTTTCCTTGTCATACCTTAGCCTTGTCCTTGGCTTGAGGTGGGATGTGCGTTTGAACTGCTCAAGCACCGTGCCCTTGTCCTGCGCCCAGATCTTAAAAAGATTGGCACACATGGGAAGCAGAAACAGTCCTCTGGGCCCAGACCACAGGGTGCAGACGTTGCTGTGTGATCCGAGCACCCCCCGTGCTCCTTCCGCTCACCCCATCCCACCCACCAGCAGAAGCACCACTGTTGTGCACACACAGCTAGCTGGGAGCAGGAGGCAGGCAGCCATTGCTGCTGCAGGCAGGGCAGCCAGCACATCCCTGATGTCCACCTCTCTTTGCCTGGCAGGCACGCAGGTGAACTTCTCCAAGCCATCTGATGCATTTGCCTTTGAGGAGGACAGCAGCAATGACGGGCTGTCCCCAGAGCAGGCCAGGAGCGAGGACTCCCAGGGCTCCACAGAGTCATCAGCAGGCACCAAATCCTCCGAGCTGCCGCCCTCGGCCCCCTCGGGGCCGTCCCAGGTGGGTGGCACCACTGGAAAGCAGCGCTTCCCTGCTCTGCTGGGGCGGGGGCACGGCTCCCCAGTATGAGGGCACAGCTGGGCCGGGGGGGATGGAGGGGCTGCAGGGCTGGATTGGGGCACTGAATGCAACTGGGAGGGCAGTGAGGCGGCAACACTGAAGCTGGGCTTGAGGGAACTGGGATGGACTGGGGGAAATGAGAATGCTGGGTTAAGGGGCACTGGGATGAGATGAGCTCTAGGCTGGGAGGACTGTGGGAGCTGGAGGGACTGGGATGCCCTGAGGTGAACTATAGGAGACGGCAGGTCAGGCCTAAAGTATCCTGGCGAACTGGGAACACTTTGGGCAGAGGAATGGGTCCAAAGGGCCCGCGCCTGCCCCACGTTCCCTCTCACATTGCACCTCTCCCTTCCAGGATCACCCCCGTGGCACTGAGTGCAGCACAGCGGAGCTTGCCTCAGGCCAGAGCGGCCAGTGCAACAGCCCCAAGCAAGCAGTGGGGCAGGACAGCCCACCTCTCCCAGTGCCCTCTGTGGTGAAGGTAATGTCTGCACATCCACACTCCCTGGGAGAGGTAATACCTGCAGGGCAGGTGGCACAGCCAGGCCAGAAGTACCCATGTGCTGCACCCCGTGTGCCTGGGAAGTTTGAGGGCTTGGTCTTAAAGGTCTGGAATAATGAGGAGAGATGGATCCCATTTTGTGGTTATAAAAGGTAGAGTTTTGGTACTTGCTAGAGTTGACTGTTCAGTTCCTACATTGGAAACATTCCCTGGGTTTGGGAGTTGGAAATATAAGGTAATGCAGAAATACTATCAAGGCAAGGAAGGCCTTTTTCCATCCCATGTGTTCTTCAGCACAGCTGGGATTAGATGTTGCCCTGGAGAAGTTCCTCACGTGCATGATTAGCTGCTCGTGGAGCTGGGCTGTCAGGGTGCCAGCAGGACCTGCCCCTGCTCTATCCAGGCCTCCCAATTCCCACAGGAATGTCAAGAGCTCTTCTCTCAGCTAATTCCTTTTCTTCTTTAACCAACAGTCAAAATCATCCAGTGACAGCAAGAACCGTCACAAAAAGCCCAAGGACACCAAGCCAAAGGTGAAGAAGCTGAAATATCACCAGTACATCCCTCCAGACCAGAAGGCAGAGAAGTCCCCTCCACCTATGGACTCTGCATATGCAAGACTCCTCCAGCAGCAGCAGCTCTTTCTGCAGCTCCAGATCCTCAGCCAGCAGCAACAGCAACAACAGCAGCAACAGCAGCAACAGCAGCAGCACTTCAACTACCCAGGGATGCACCAAGGCCAGATAAAGTGAGTGATGATGTGCCAGTAGCAGGGCTTAGTACTATCTCCCTCCAAACATTCCTCTCCCATTTCCACTTGTGCCAGTGCATTGGAGATAAATACATGTAAGGGAAACATAGCAACCTCCCAAAAACATGTTCTGACTTTGTGCACTAGCTGGGGAACCTGTGACTTGCTGGTAGGATACCAGCAATCTCCTTGCAGCCCAAACTGGTTTTCCTCGGGGTTGGCAGTCCTTCAGGTCTCATACAGGGGATAAGAGCCCCAAAGGAGCACGGAGATGGTACATCATAGCAATGGGCACAGAGTCCCCAGAGGGCAGACTTGTTACCCCGTATCTCCTTTGTTATTTCAGGCAATCAAATGAGCAAATGATCAAAAGTTCAAATGCTTCATCAACTTCTGTCAGCAGCACCCCTCTTTCTCCTGTGAAAACCACCTTTTCAGGCCAGACTTGTGTCTCATCTATCAAGCCAGGCCCTCTGCCGTCTAACCTGGATGATCTGAAAGTAAGTGAACACTTTGTCAGCACAGGAGCAGAATTTTATAGCCTGTATGTTCGTTGCTACTCTTATTTGTGCATTGTAAGTGCAACAATGCAGGTTGTGCTGACAGGGACTGAATGTATGTTACAGACCAGCATGCACCACCACACTGAGCAAACCAAGGTGTACAGCACAGTGGAGCAGGAATTGGTCAGGGTGGCAATAACTAAAAGCAGGGATTTGCTCCTATGTGGGCATCACATGTGTGCACTGCTCCAGTGGATGTATCAGCAAATCCTGCATCTTGAGACAGCTGCAGGCCAGGACATTAGGTCCAGGACTAGAGGACAATCTGTGTTGCTGTTCTGACAGCTCATGATCCCACAGCTTCTGTAGTATTATGGTGGATATCTTGGATATTGCCAACAGAATAGACAGAAAATAGGTCAGCATGGCCTTCACACCCACCCAGTGACTCAGCTTCTCTGCAGCCATTGCCCATGCTGAGACCATGATGCTGCAACTCCTTGCCAGCAGTCAGGCAAGGTCCACTCACTGCACAAGCAGGTATCTCCAGAGACTGCAAATGTGAACACTGAGTAGTATTTAAACCTCTCACGTAGACAAGGGCACAAAGGATTGGGGTTTCTTAGTAGAGCTTCAGCCATAGGAAAGACCAAGTCTTTTTAGAAGCAGAGACCTTGGGGTAATGGATTTCTCTGTCACTATTAGCTGGGAAAATAAAATGAGATAGAAATAACATGAGTTTGGCCATAGAAAAAAAGTTCTTCACTAAGAGGGTGGATAAGACTCTCCAAGCAGCCATTGTGGCACCAAGCCTGACAGAGTTTGAGAAGCATATGGACAACACTCCTAATTGGGTTTGATTTTTGGGTAATCCTGCATGGTGCCAGGAGTTGGACTCACAGGATAGTTCCAACTCAGACTATTCTATGATTTGTGAGTCTATGATTCTATGACAGTGATAACATTGATTAGATACCTGAGCCTGGTTCAGATGTCTGAACATGAGGCATCTAGCTCCAAATGTATGCAGTCATGTTGTCTGAGCTAAAGAATGCCATCATCTTGTTCCTGGGCTGTGTTGAAAGTCCTCCACTCATGGAAACTTACTGCTATCAAGGGAATCCTAGTTTACCTCCATGGCCCAAAGACCTCCGCTGGCTCATGGAGAGCAGTAAGTTTCTAGCACAAGGAAGGTTTTCCCATTAGGAAGGCTCAGGGTCCTGTAAAATATATGGTGATCAGGGCTGTGTGTGGTGACTGAGCACCTGGGGAGCCAGAGCAGGGAACCTGTGATGTCAGGTTTCTAAAGCACTTGCCTTCAAGGGAAAGCATCGGGAATGATTGTTGGTGACTTTTCTTCTAGGTGTCAGAACTGAGGCAGCAGCTCCGAATAAGAGGCCTGCCTGTATCAGGTACCAAAACAGCACTGATGGAACGGCTGCGGCCCTTCCAGGAGTGCAGCAGCAATGCAGTGCCAAATTTCAGTGAGATCACAACTGTCACCTTTCCAGTCACTCCAACAAGCACCTTGTCAAATTACCAGTCGCAGTCTTCCACAGGCATGTTGTCAAATGGCTTCTACCACTTCGGCAGCACCAGCTCCACTCCACCCATCTCTCCAGCCTCCTCCGACCTCTCTGTGAGTGGCTCTCTGCCAGACACATTCAACGACGGGCCCATGTCTTCTCCACAGTTTGGTCTTCAGCCATCTCCGGTTCATGGTAGTGCTGAGGAAAGCCTGATGAGCAGCATGAATGGAGGGAGCATCCAGCTGGAGCTGGAAGGGATTGACACAGAGAAAGACAAGATGCTGGTGGAGAAGCAGAAGGTCATCAATGAGTTGACGTGGAAGCTGCAGCAAGAGCAGAGGCAGGTAGAAGAGCTAAGGATGCAGCTGCAGAAGCGAAAGAGAAGCAATGGCCTTGAGGAGAAACAACAGCCCTCCCAGCATTTCTTCAGTGTCCCCATCAAGCAAGAAAATGCAGTGTCCAGCTGCCCGTTTGCATCCAAACAAACTGCCTTGAAAGGCCAAGCCAGCAGCTCGGATAAGTTAAGTAACTGTGGGGTGCCGCAGCTGTCTCACATTGTAAATAGCCACTGCTTGGAGCCCGTGGGGCAAAGCACCATCACCTCCTCGACATTCCTGAGCCCGCAGTGCTCCCCCCAGCACTCTCCACTCGGGGCTGCAAAGAGCCCTCAGCACATCAGCCTGCCGCCGTCCCCCAACAGCCACTATCTCCTGGCAGTGTCCCCCGGCTCACAGGCAGAAGGGCGCAGCGCATCACCCCAGACCAGCAGTTGCCTTCGCACTGCATCGGTAAGTGGGGAGCACCCCAGCTGTCATCTCTGTGGTGAGCACGCACGGGTCTGTGGGCATTCGCACAGACGCCTCCGAGCTCTTTTCTGTCAGTGCTGGCACCTTGATGGGCACCAGGGGGCGGCAGGAACACGATGAGCTGTCTGTAGGAGCACAGAATAGCTGAGGAGAATGGGTTGGAAGCTGATGGCACCGCAGGGTCCTTTGCAGGGCATTTCCTAGAGAGCCTTGCTGCCTCCACATCCAGTTGCCCTGGGGGGCCAATCACAGGTCCTCTGCCCCATGGAGCCTTGGCACAGCTCCCTCTGCCCCAAGTGAGCACTGGCAGAGTTCTCTGTGCCCTGCAAGAGTCCTGGCACAGTTTCCCCTGCCATGAGGAGACCTGGCACAGCTTTCTGCCCTGGGGAAGCTTTGGCACAGATTCTTCTGCCCTAAAGGAGCCCTAGCTCATCTCTCACTCCCCTCAGGGGAGGCTCTGGCTCAGCTTGCTGTGCCACTAGGGGAGCCCTGGCACAGCTCCCTCTGCCCCATGGAGTCCTGGCTCAGCTCCTTCCACCTGGGGAAGACCTGGCACAGCTCCCTCTGCCCCAAAGAGCCCTGGCACAGCTCCCTCTGCCCCATGGAGTCCTGGCACAGCTCAATCCACAATCAGGAACCACCAGCACAGCTCCCTCAGCTGCTGGGAGGTCCCTATTCTCCTGGGAGAACCCTGCCACAGTGCAGCGGTGCTCATCAACCTCTTGCTAAGCCATTGCATCTGCTAGCAGTGCAACAGTGTATTTTGACCACTGAGTTGAAGGAGGGCAATTCTCCCAATCATATGGAAAGCCTTTTCTTGGCAATAGAACAGGACTTGCCACTGGGATCTGCAATCAGGGGCTTGTTCCCCTCAGGCCACTAGCACAGCAGTGTGGCCCTTTCAGTGTCTCCACTCTTCATTCAGCCCTCAGGATGAGTGTGAAAGCTTGTAAAGGGGCACGTGCTGCCAACATACAAAAGTAGAATAAATGCCACTGATCACAGCCCCATTTCATCCCAACACCCTACCTGGGGCAGCATGGCACCTACTGTGAAACACCCAGTACTCACACAGGACAGCTCCTGAGCTACAGTCCCACAGCTTGCACATGGAGCATTGTGCTGTGTGAGTGTGGCAGGGCTGCAGGGTGACAGAGTAGGATGCAGCCTATCATGAGGACAGTGATGTGCAGGACACAGGCAGTTGGTCTGTCAGTGAGATGGGCAGAGAGGAGCAGTGCTGTAGGGGTGAGACAGGCAGAGAGAGTGCTGCAGGGGGGCAGGCGGTGGTATGCAGAGCTGTAGGTGGAACAAGCAGTGGAGCTGCACTGTGATGCAGTGGGCAGTGGGTTGCAGCCCTGTGGAACAGTACTCCAAGAGAGGCAGTGGAGCTGCTCTGAACAAACAGACAGACACTGAGCATCAGCAGGAGGAACAGCACCTCAGGGGCTCCTCCAGCTCTTTCCCCACTGCCAGAGCACAAGGGGCACGCTCAGGGAGTGACTCTGCAGTGTCCTGCTGCTCATCCTGGTTGTGAAATCACTGTCCTGGGCTTTCCTCATGAAGGGCACCTGTGGGCTTGAAGGCAAAGAAGAACAGCAGCTAGAAGGAACCAGACCTTCGGGTGAGGAGTGAGGACCCTCCTGGAAAGGGATGGCCTCTTCCTAGCAAAAAGTTGGCACCAGTGCACAGCTGTTTGGCATGGGCAAGGGGAAGGCCTGGCAGTGACTCTTTTGGGCTGTCTGCCCTGCCAGTGCTCCTGAGATCTCCCTAAACCAGTGGTGACAGAGAAGGTCCCCAAAAGAAGGAGGTGAGAGGCAGCTTGTGGCTTGGGGAGCATTGCTATCCTGGATACAGCCACTCTCTCTCTTGCTCTGCACATTTACAGCTGAGCTGAGTTCTGGAGAACCATGCTCATGGTTCTGCATCCTTCTGGGGTCCTCAGAGCTCACCCAAGGAGTTATTCCCCCTCTGTTTCCTGCCCAGAAACCAGGCACTGTGAGCTGATCTGACCTACAACACCCTTAGTTTTCCTGGTGCTGCTCTGGCTTCAGCTAAGGTGATGCAGATATCCTGCATGCTGAGGAGCAGAATCTTTTCCCTGTGCATCAATTCCATTTCCCTGTATTTCCCCCACGTAGATGACTAAACAGGCAGGTCAAAAGTTTTCAGCTTCATCCCCAAGTTTCTGTAAGTCAAGCACAGCCCTCTCAAGAGAAAGCAGCCTCCACCCTATCAGGGTTCAATAAAGCAGGTAACTGCATGATTTTTACTTTCAACAGGGCAGAGCGGTGCAGAGTGGTTAAGGCAGCTGCAGGGTCTACAACCCTCTATGGGGTCTCTGAGGATTACAGGCCTTTTTCCAATAAGAGGCAGCATTTCCGTGGAAAGCTACTAAATGATTGTCACAGAGCAGTCAGACACCATGCTAAATGGGGTTTGTGCAAGTGGAAGTTGCCTGGGGTCCTGACACGCCACACAAATGCCCCAAAACTCAGGGGCACTCCTCTTTGGGGTGTTCAGTGCTATGTGACAAATAGACCCATGAGCCACTCTTCAAGAAACCTCACCTACCCTCTGTAGCCCATTGGTAAAATCCCACCCCAGACCATCTGCTGCCCTTAGCCATATTCCTGGAGTGCTGCTCCTGTGGGGAAGACCTTCTCCACCACGTGCAAACCCATCACTTCTTGTGAGAGCCTGCCAGCAGCCTCAGTGTCAGTCATGATGGTGCTTTTAGGAACATGGAGCAATACCACTGACAGTGATGAAAACTGGCTTATGCTGGCTGCGAGATGTGTGGGCAGTTCTTCCAGTCTGCAGTCAGGGAGAAGAGGATGCTGTTTCATTGTTCCCAGTGCAGAGAGTGGGAGCAGGCACGTGTCAGTGCTAGGTGCCAGGTCAAGAAAATCTGTGTCCTCATTGCTCTGGGGAGAGGCAGTCTGCAGCAGCTGCTGAGCACAACTTGGCTGCAGGTCAGGGGGAGCCTATTGCAGCACTGTTTGGATCTGCTGCACTTGTCCTTGATCTCCCAGTGCTCATCCGAATGCCACTGCCAGACCCCTGCATCTCTTGTGGGGTCCAGAGCCACCTGCTTGGTGTGTGGCCGGAGGGACTCTCCTCCTAATGCCCTCTACTCTCCTCTTTGCCGTTTGCTGCAGCAGATGACTCGAAGTCAGCAGATGGACGAACTCCTGGACGTGCTGATTGAGAGCGGAGGTACGCACTGCTTCTCTGACCCCTCCAGGGCTTCCCCTCAGGTGTAGGTCTGCAGGGCCCTGAGCTCTCGGTGTGCCTCCGGGAGCTGCTTGAGCTGGGTATGGCTTTCATTTGCTGCCCTACACCAGAGATTGACTCCAAAATCACATGGGGCCTGTGCTGGTGAAAAAGCCTGCCAGAGCCTGTGCCCACAGAAGCCTGAGATCAGTGCAGGCGTCCAGGCTTGGGAACCTGCTCAGAAAGGATGGCAGTGTGCAACAGAGCCTCTGCTGCCCTCCTCTCCCAGTGCTGCCAGTGCCATCTCCCACACAGAGCAGGATGTGCCCTCCCCTGTGCAGATTGCTACCTGTGCCCTTCTTAATGCATGACCATCCCCATGGGGACAGCTGCCAGTGCTTGTGCCCTGGAGACAGGTTCCAAAACTGGGGGAGCTGAGATCAGGAAAAGGGAATGCGAGGGGCTTCCCACAGGGAGGATGGGTGGGTGATGCCAAAGGGATGGAGTTGGGTATGGGTCCCTGCAGGCATGCCTAGCCCAAGAACCTTGCTCAGGGGCCTCAGCAGTGCCTCCTGCTTAGCAGTGACAAGGGCTGCCGGAACACCTCAATTCCCTCTTGTTTGTTGAACAGAAATGCCAGCCAACGCCAAGGAAGATCGGTCCTGCCTCCAGAAAGTACCTCAGATAACAGTGTCTACAGGGAACTCCAGCACTCCGCTCCCAAAGTCGTCTGCTCCATTTGAACAGGTCTCCACCACCCAGCTCCCATTTGAGCACTGTCCAGGTGGTGGTGATGCTCACCTTGAGGTCCTGCTGAATGCCCACAGCCCGCTGGGGAGAGTTGGTGAAATCACCCTGCTGAAGATGGGAGGAGAGGAGTCCCACTTCGAGGGGATGATAGAGGGGTTCTCCAGCAAAGCCGCAGATGAACTGCTCACATCCCAGGAGATTTTACAGACTCCCCTCTCGCCCATGGAAACGCAACTCTCCCCTTCCCCTGCTGATGGCTCCGGTTTACAAATGAGTTTCACCGAATCTCCATGGGAAACGATGGAGTGGCTGGACCTCACCCCCCCCAGCTCCGCCACTGGCTTCAGCTCACTCACTCCCGCAGGCCCCAGCATCTTCAACATTGATTTCCTGGATGTTACTGATCTCAATTTAAACACCAGCATGGACCTCCACCTGCAGCAATGGTGAATAGGAGGGCAGTGGAGGCAGAATACTGTGCGCCCACAGCAGCCAGCACAGTGTTTCCACCATGCTGGAGAACACGTAGGGCTAACACGCCACATTCAGGGGAAACTGGAGCCATTTTCCCAGCGAATAAACTTGTTTGAATTTTCAGTTACTGCAAACTGACAGCACAACAGCTCTGGTACTTCGTTTTCCTTCCACTGGCACATCTTCACAAAGGATACCAAGTGCCTTTATCAACACTCCTTTAGATTGACAGTTGTCTGTAATTTTGTTTTTGTTCTTTTTATCTTTCTCCTCCCAGTTTTAGCAGACACTCCCGTGAGAACTGGAGCAGCTCACGACAAAACCACGTGGTGAGGCGAGCTCACTCGAGAAGCAACAGGGAAGCAAGCACACAGAAGTTGCTGTCCTGCTCCCTCCTGCCATTTCGCAGGGCTCCCCTCAGCCTTGCCCAGGTCAGGAGGGCTGGGAGCAGAGAGGCATGAGGGCTCTGCCCAGCCAGGGCAGTGAGCCCCCTGTGTACAGCCAGACTCACCTTGTGCCCTTCCTCCTGCCCCCAAAGCCCCGGAGCTGTGCCGCCTCAGTCCCTGCACAACTGTATGAGCAAGCGAGAGATGGAGCCTACTGTGTTCATGGTGGTGCCTTGGGATGTTCTCAGACTGTCTGGGGGGCCGAAAGCCGAAGAGCTGTCCCAGCTACAGTCTGAGCTGAGTCAGGCTGCAGTCCGAGTCCTTGGAGCAGAGGTGTGGATGCTGGAGGCAGCCATTCAGGCCGCAGGTGCAGGTGTTGAAGGGATGTGGCATTCCGGTGGAGCTGGCATGGCTCAGCTCATGTGGTACAGATAAAGAGATGGGTAATGTGTTGTGGTCCAAGGTAGGAGCAGGTCATGTGGACAATACAGCACAGCTTTGGAGGGGCTGTCCCTGCAGAGCCGCAGTGTGGGGTAGCTTTTCACCACCCAGCAGGGCCATCAGGAGCAGCCCCCCTCCTGCACATGGGGCAGGGCTGAGCAGGCCCTCACAGGGCTGTGATTTTGTGTGAGCATCTGCTTTTGCTTTCTCCGCTCTCTGCCATCCAGAAGGCTTCCTTCTTCCCTTCTTCCTTGATCCTCAGCAGCGATTTTCTTCTCTCCTGAGTTTACTCCGGCATCACCCAGCTCAGAGCAAGGCTGTCTGGAGAACAGCTGTGAATCACTGAGCCTAGAGGAGCTCGTTCTTCTGAAGCCAGCGGAGATGGATGCTCTCCTGCAGTGATGCCTCCAGTTTGAAGTCACCAGCATTTCTCCTGCGAGTCTCTGTGCAATATCCTTCCTCAGGCTCCAGCGAGAAGGAGCCTTCGCTTCACTTCTTGGCAGCCACCAAAGAACTTGCTGCAGACTCTTTGACGGACACGTCGGCTTTGCAATTCTGGTTTTGCCAAAGTAAATATTGTTGCTGACAGAGATTGTTAAACTATTTACAGACTGAGTGTATTTAATATTTGTGTTACTGGAAGGACAGCGCATCGGTGACGCGGCGCTGTGAGGTGCACTGTGGGCTCACCATGCAGCCCCGCAGCCCCTGCGTCCCTGGCTCGTGGCGATGTTGCATGCTGTATAAAGAACACGGCGGTAGCTTTTAAGTCACTATTTAAAGCATCACTTTTCTATTGTACAAATGGTCACGGTGCACTGCTAGATAGACAATCACAGGTTGCGTTGGTTTTTTTTTTTTTAATTCCTTTTTATAAGGGAGAAATTTTTAGAAGCCGTTCCATGGAGAATATTAATAGCACTTGAATCAGAGTAGTGTTAGCTGCTACACTGCACCGTTGTACAGGGCTTTCCAGGTAACTTTCTCCTCTCAACAAATGTATTTCCTTATTTAAAGGGATGCTGTCAGCTTCGAACTTGTAAACAAGCACATTTCCTTACCTATGTTACCAGCAACACCTTCATTATTAAAAACCCCTTTGCCTTGCCGCTCTGCCTGCTCGCAGTCTCACGCTCGATTCCACCCACCTGGGGCAGGACAGCTATTGGCCCCCCAGCCCCCCACCTTCATTTGCCTTTGAAGGAGATGGATGAGGGATGGGTGTCCATCCCTCAGGACAAACTGATGGCTGCAGCATAGGACGGCTCAGGTCAGAGGACCCTTAAAGGTCAGATCGTTCCGACCCCTGCCGTGGGCAGTGTTGTCACCCACCAGACCACGCTGCCCAGAAAGGAAAATCTGTATTTGGAGATATGTATGCGACTCCTGCAGCCCTTCCCCTGTGTCTGTGGGTTCTCCTGGGTCTCTCTGGCTCAAATCCTCCGGACATAGGCACGGCCCTGTGCTCCCGGGGATCCTTCTCCCCTCACCCACTCATGACCATGTCCAGCTTTACCACACCTCTCCTCAATTCACAGTTTTCCCAGGATGCTTCCTGCCTGCCTGCAGGGGATGGACTTAAAATGTGGGATGATCCAGAGACACTGATCCAGAAAAGTGAACCAGAAAAGATGTAGGTGACGTGCCAGCTAGTTCCTGTGTGGCTTTTAATCTCTTAACCATACACTGCATAAAAAATCCCATTGTGATAAACTCCGTAGGCTGAGCTGAGCTCTGCAGCCCTGTGCCATGCCAACTCTGCATCGGGCTCCTACCCACTGCCCCGTGCCCTCATGCAGGGCAGTGCTGGGCTGCTCTGTGCCCGCTGCTCCACTGCTCCAGAGCCAGCACCCCTGGTTGTGCCCGCCTGGTTTTCCCACACAGCCCTTCCCAAGGGATTTAAGGCCCAGGGATTTTGCTTCCTGCTGTGGCCGAGCAGCAGATCCCATGATGTCCCATGCTGGGTTTTACAGACACCCTCTTTGTTTAAGGCTTTGTATAAGGCTTTGCTCTACCCCAGTGACATTCCTTTGTGAGCAGTGACCACCACCTCTGAGCTGCCTGCAGCTCTGGGCTCTCTGATCCCCCTGTGCGGTCATTTCAGGTCCAACCGATGTGTGTTTCACTAGGGGCACGGCTGGCTCTTCCTACACAGAGTAACTACTCATAATTGTTAGTTATTAGTTGCAAAATAAATACATAGCTGTGTGTTACATCACACAATTCTAAGAAAACTAAAACAAAGCAAGTAATGGTTGTGCCCTTGTTCGATAATTGTTGTTAGAGCTGAACGAGCCAAAGCAAAGCTCCCAGCTGGCCACAAGGAGCCCAGGTGCACTACAGCAGCAGAGGCCTCACAAGAGGCTGCTCAGCACTTCCTGAGCTGCTCAGCAGTAAGAAAGAGCTATCCAGGGACATGTGAACTTCTCCCACTCCATTGGATGAGTCCTTCCAAGCAATTCCCCTTCCTAGTGCCAAGCTGAGCCAGAGCAAGGAAATGGTCCCAGCACCTCTCACTGGAAACGCACTCTGAGCAAGCATTCTTGCAGGAACCAGGAACTGGCTGCACTTCAGGATGGTTTATACCAACATCTTGGAACTGGGATCAATTGCAAATGTCTTCAGGAAATCACTGTGATGTGGAGAGCCAGAATTGGGAGGGAGGGAGGCAGGAAGGAAGGCAGGAAGGCAGGAAGGCAGGAAGGCAGGAAGGCAGGAAGGCAGGAAGGCAGGAAGGAAGGAAGGAAGGAAGGAAGGAAGGAAGGAAGGAAGGAAGGGATGACACACAATCCTGGTGCAGGGAGTTAGAAAATTGGTCTGACATACACAGAAGGCTGAGGTACAGCAGCCTAATAAAACCATCACAGTTTTCTCCATGTTTTGGTATTGTTACTCCTAAAGCATCATCAATTGGTTGAGGTGTGTCTGCTGGCACAAGCAGCACTCTGGGTCCTACTTCTGCAGATCCCTGAGCTCTCAGTGTGCCTTCTGGTCAGCAGGATTAGGAGTGCTCATGAACAGCTCTGCAAATACGTGGTGGCCCTCATAAACACCCAACAACCTCTCAAGACAAACCATTTATAGCCAGTACATTGCAGAACTGCTTGGTGTGCTGCACATAGGTTTTCAATCCATTAGTCTGACGAGAAACCTGTCTTCCTTGGAAGGTCAGGCAGGACCTCCTCCCCTTCTCACAATATCCAGCCAAACACAAACTGGGGTGTTGCTGTACTATTTGGCTCCATCAAGGTGCATTCCCATCTGGCCAAGAGAGGAACTACCTCCATGGATGGCTATGGCAGCAACTTTTCCTCCCAGAAAGCAGAGAAAGAATTGAGGGATTTGGTGGGATGTGTGGGAGACAGTCCATGGTCCCATCCGACAGCCAGCTCTGTATTTTACTTCCAGTACAACAGTGGCACAGTGGCCACCAGAAAAGGGAGTTATGCTTCAGCTTCCATCTACACAGCCTTTAGCAAAATGGCAAAAGTCAGGAGCTGCTTTCTGTTCTTATTCACCAGAGCAGCCATTCCACCTTCCGTAGGGCCCTTCACACATTCACAGCAATGACCACACTTGGGGTTTGTGTCTAGATTCAGTGAAAATTGAGCTTTTTTCCAAAGTGGTGCCTGTGGGGGGAAGGCTGGTGAAGCAAAGATGAGTGGAAATGTATACAATACAACCCATAAGTGCTGCAGATAAAGTAGTCAGGGTGTCCGTGTCCATCCACACTGCTTACGTCCACGCAGAAAGGAGTTTGAACGCATCAAAACCTTGGAGTCTTGGAGTCCCATAGACACATCGTAAATGTCAATGAGCACAGTACCTGTTTCATGGGTGCTATATAGTACCTGATGAGGGTATCAGGAGTGCTTTAGCCCTGCACATAGGCATAAAGACGTGACGAAGTGGTATGAACTGTGAGACTGGGCCACTGTGCATGACAGCAGCCCTTGGTGGCTCCAAGCCTGCCTGGAAGTTAGAGCTGCTCCTCAGCCATGGCTGAGTACAGAAACTGGGGCAGCCTCCAGTCCATGCGATGGTACAGAGGGAAAGCAAGAGCTGAGACGTATGGACCTTGTTGGGTTATCTGCAGGAGGATTCCCAACTTCAGGGTTGGAGGTAGCCATTGTAGCCCACTTGTACCAGGAATGCTGGACTGGTTCAAGGCTCAGACCAACAGCAACAGCAGCAGCGCTCGGGCACAGGTCCTGTCCAAGACACAGAAGATGCATCTGGATGTGGGGTCAGAGGTTTCTCATCCCATGTGAGCAATGATGTGATGACAACAGCCCTTGGTGGAGGCAGAGAAGTCCAAGTGAGTCAACAGGAAAAAAGCTCAAGCGTGGATTCTATGGGGCAACTGGGAGAACCTGAGGTGACGACACAGTCCTTACATGCCACACAGCCACAGAGGGAAAGAGATCAGCGGGGTCCTCTGCATCCCGAAAAGCATGGGGATGCCCAGTTCAGTTCTGCCACGTTTCTTTCGGTTTCTTGTCCACTGATACAGCTTCCTCCAGAGCAAACCTCAGCACACAGAGGCAGCTGTTGGTGCAGAAGGAACAGAACTGATGTTTGTGGAGCTGGGAGGAGCTGGCCCTGCAGCATCTGACCTTGCTCCCCAGTGCTTGGTGGGTTTTAACTTTTGCCTATGAATCACTGAATCTGGAATCTTGGGTTATGGATGAAGAGTGGGGACAGCAAGCAGCCCAAAAATGTCCCAAGTATTGTGCTAGGAACAGGAACCTTCCAGAACAACCTTGATGTGTCAGAACCACAGAATTTATTTAAGCTGACAGACTTCAATCACCTCAAGTCTTTCTCGCTGTGTATCTCCAACGCAAGTCCTTCTCTGGCTCCACTGCCTGCCTTCCCTTCTCTTGACAAGATTGTCACCCTTCAAGTGAAGGCACTGGTGAGAGCCAATGCCAGGTTACTCCACCAGTCCCTAAGAACTGAGCTGTGATATGACCAACAATCACTGCCAGCATGCTCTTGTTCTTCTCTCAACAAAACCTCGGTCCCATCGAGTCAGTTTGACGTTACAGGAATGGACAGCCCCATTCCCCAACACTGCGTTCATCTCTGTGGGGTTGATTATGGGGTCCAGTTCTGCTCACTCACCTGGAAGGCTTCCAAGTCCTCTGAGGCCTCCAGGCACAGACCCGTATGCCAGCACCCAGAGGCTTGGTAGTAGAAATTACCCAGGACTCTTAAATCTGGATGCTGCAGACAGTGAGTGCTCTCCCATACATACAAGAAGCCTGCGAGGCCATGAGCATCGCTGCCCTCTCCCCAGGCTGTGGTGCAGCCACTGGCCCTCCTCACAGGGACAAGATGTCCTGAGCCACCTCTGCCCCTCCGCCTCCCCCAGAGGAAGGGCTAGAAGTCAGGGATTTCTCCGGCTTGTAACACATCTCCCCACTTATGCCTGACCTGACACAATGAAAATAACGAGGGCACGGTCGCATCCTATTTTTATTACAACTGACCTGCAGGCAAAAGGATAGAACTATTACATAAACACTCTGATCCATGTATAATATCTTAAATAGAGAAGGAAGTCCAACCAGGGTAAAATATTCTGAAGCTCTGTGAAGCAGTTATGTTCCTGAGCTCCATTTTACAGACAATAAGGCAACATCCCTGCACATCGTCTTTGTGATCATTTTTATACATCTTTTTTCCTATGGTACAAGAAAAAAAAAAAGTAAGCAGAGTACACAATGTACAGTTCTTTCACAGCTTCTGAACACTATACACTTATTTTTTTATAAAGATACAACGCAATAAATGGTGCACCCTTAATAGCTGAAATCGATGCATGTTAAACGTGTTCTGCACAGCGGTGCCACTGCACTGCGCACGCCTGACTCCGACTCATTACTGCTTTAGCCACGCTACGGACCGTGCTCCGATTTAACCACAGCACCGCTCACTGCAGGACATTCTGCTTTTTTTTTTTCCTTGCACAGCTCAGCGCTGCCCCACTGGCGCTGCAGGAGCGCTGCCCGGGTTCCGGGAACACCCAGCTTCAGCCGAGCGCAGCTGGAGACGCAGCGCTGTGTGCCCTCTGCCGGGTGCTCACAAGCGTGGCCTGGGCTCTGCGCTTCCCCAGCCGAGCAGCAGGGGCAGGATGCGCTGCTGGATCCTGCTGCATCCCGGTGGCACCGAAGTGCGAAGCCCCATCCGGGCAAATCTCACTCCTGCTGCTCTGCACATCCATCCCTCTGCCAAAGCTTCTCGTGGGCTGCTCGCGTTTTGGCAAAGTCGTATCGAGTGCTGAAAAGTGGACAATTCAAACTGGAAATCACAGCCTCCATTGGATCCCCAGCATGCTACTGCATGTCTGAGAGTTGCAGTAGTTCAGAGGGGTAAAAAAAAAAGTTTTCAGAACTTCAAAAATCATCTCTGAAAAAGATGCCAAATTTAGAAGATAAAATGACAGCTGATCTAATTCATCCAGTCCCAACCCCTGCCACGGGCTGGCTGCCCACCAGCTCAGGCTGCAGCGTGGCCTCAGGCACCTCCAGGAACAGGGCAGCCACAGCCCTGGGCAGTGCCATTCCAACACCTCGCCCGGTCTTGCTGGGCCAAATGAAAACCCAGGTGTTTGACCTCATCTCTGCTACCTTGTAAGGTTCTCAGCAAGGTTCACTTTAAAGTTCAACAACATGAGCTTCCCAGGGTATCAGCCAAAAGGCGAACAAGGCTTCCAACCAAGCAGAGCATCACATTTGCAGCAGTAAATGGGCACAGACTCAGCGTGGCAGGAGAGCCATCCTGCACAGTGCTGAGAAGGAACTGCTGAGCTCTGCCCATGTTAGGGACACACGGGGCTAGGAAGTGGCAGTGCTGCTGGCTGGGCTGTGGGCAGGGAAATGGAGCTAGCAGCAGAGCTGGGGACAGTGAAGAGCATGAGAAACATCGACTAGAAATCGCAGATGTTCGTTTCTGGCTCACTGAAACAGCCACAGACTTTGTGAATGGCACTTGTCGAAGTCAAAGCAAAGCCAGCTGGCGGTGAGTGCTGTGCAGCTATAAATCAGGTCACAAGCGGGTTAAATTCAATTGAGTAGTTTAATAATTCTTCAGATCAAAGGTCTTATCTTACCAGGTAACAATTTACAGGATGCCTAGTTAAGAGCGAAGAGTGGCTGGCTTGGTAAAAGGAGAAAGAATACATTATGTCCCATCTCTGAATAGTTTAATGTTAGCCTCTTTCAATGCGACATATTTTTGGTAAAGACATATTCACTATATTTAACATGATCTCTCTTTTAACAGGAAGTTCAGCTGAGCACACTGTCCCCAGAAAGTACGCTGCGACTGTAAAGCAACAGAATTTCATAGCAGTAAATCTATTGCACTTTGTGAAGAATAAAATTCTCCTTTGCCTTTCTAGCTCCAGAAGGCAAAGCATCTTGTTGGTTAAGCAAGTTCTTCTCCCTCCAGGCAAAGTCTCTTAATGTTCAGACAGACAACGCCTAACTTTTGTTTGTTTGCTTTTTATTATTACTTGAAACAACAATTGGAAGAATTTGAGAGAAAAATCTTTCCAGTAGCTGCTGAGGAGTCTCCAAGTTTTGAGTCTAGAAATGAATTTTAGGTGCTATCCAATCACAGTCAACAAATAAATGTACTTATTTCCACATTTCATGAATATGTCCACAAAAGAGCAGATGAGGTCTCTCTTTGACCAACACTAACACTGTGTGATCAGATATTACAGGGATGCACTTTATATGTGACAACAGTATACAGACAGGATGGAAATAACACCAATATTATTGCACATGGTGTTTGGGCGAGCATTAAAAACACTGCAATATGTGATGAAAATTCTTTACAGCTTGTTTTCTCTCAGCCCTTTTTCTAGAGTTTGACGTAGCAGCAATATCAATCAACATACATTGGAGAGCTGGGAGTTGCTGGCATTTGATCCAGGATTTTACAAACATAGCATGCAACATCCACTGTGCGTTCCTCATACATCAGAATGAAGGGATGTTTCTGGAATCAGATAGAGAAACAAGCAGGTTACTAAACTCGCCTTTCAGGCTGGATACCCCAGATACAAGCACAGCACATGGACTTGCCTGGTGCAAGACCCCAGTGCTTGGCAGTGAGTGCAGGACACCAGGACTTGGCCTGGTCCGTGGCTTTTTGCGTGTGAGGTATCCTTATCTTAAACACGCAGTAAAGAGGTGGGATGAGACTTCACGGGAGACACACTGAAATACTTTCATTAAAGACTTCATCATCAGCCTTTTCAGCAATGAAGAGACAGAGACAACAGGGAGACACGACCTGGAAGGCTGAACAAGAGGTGAGGATCCCAAAACAGTCGTTCTGAACTCTGATCCTCGGGTTTGCCCAGCACAGCAGCTGGGAAATAATGACATGGTAACTGCGGGCCAGGACACCAGGCAAACTCCCTTCCTACAATACCGACACCATCAGGCACCCAGGACAGGTTTCCCCCATTCTCTGCAGGCGTGGCTTCCCAATGCACAGAGTTCCATAAAAATACGTGGCTGCCAAGTGTGACTTATCCAACCCCAAAGCCCAGCCAACCACCTTCCTTCGCAGTGTAGCTCATAGATTGGAGGCAGTGGCGTGTGACAGCAATCTGACAGGGCTTCTGAGTGCCCCTGCCGAGACCTCAAGCCAAGGCAGAAGTTGCAGGGCACACCCTACATGTCTTACCCAATCCTGCACACTTCAGAGACCACATGGGTCAACTATGTCTGGTTAGAAAACCTACTCCAATATGGCACCTCCACCTTAACCCAGCTCCTAGGACTGGGTATTTATGGACAGACACCTACAATCTCGGCCATCATATGAGCCACACAAGCCTGACAGGGTGGCAGGGAGGCAGTGCTGTCCTACAGGCTGCAGAGCTAAATCTCCGCTTCCATCAGCTGAGAAGACACAAAGATGTGACCCAGCCCTGCTCTGTGCTGCGCACAGCCACAGCAGCTGGGCTCAGCAAGCATGCTCTGCACTCACCAGAAGCTCTTTGTACTTTGGCCTTTTGGACTCGTCCTTTGTAAGGCTAAAGAAAGCAGAAAGAGAATTAGGAAAAGGTAGGGCTGAGGTTACAGACATTAAACATACATTTTTACAGCAGATGATACTGAATCTACAGTTGTTGTGGAGGAACTGAGAACATCTCAAATCATTCAAGTCCAGGAACGTGGTTTTCTCCAAAAGTCACCCTTTCCAAGCTGCAAGTCATCACCAGACTCCCTCCGCATAGGGGTGGAGATCTAGCATGAGCACAGACCCATAGTGATCAACAAACCCCACTGAGGATGGGCCGAGGAGAGCTGCGAGCTAAACCACATTGTCGCCCCCAGGGCAGTGGGCAGACAGAGCTCAGACAACACTCTCAATAATGGGGTCGATTTTGGGTGGTCCTGCAAGAACAAAGAGCTGGATCGATGATCCTAACGGCTCCTTCCAACCCGACACATTCAGGGATTCCACCATTCTACACTGCAGCCTTGCCATGCAGCTGCCATCTCCCCAGCACAGGCGCAGCTCTCTGGCTCCTGGCCTGCAGCACGGGGCACAGCCGGGCTGTGGTGGGACAGCAGGAGGCAGCAGAGGCCACCAAAGGCCCCACAGCACTGGGCACACAGACACGGCCCGACCAGCCACCCGCTGCTCCCTCAACTTTCTAACATTAGCAGAAATAACCTTTTCTTGCAGATCTATCACAACCAGCACAGACTGCACGACTCCTCTGTCATTTTTCCTGACTCTTCACAGAAATAGAAATTATTAAATGCACATTCGTGGGGTGATGCCCCAGGGATCAGTGCCATCACTCACCACCAGCACAGCCTTTAGGAATAGTAGTGCTTCACCTGCAGGCTTACTAACATCAGCCTGTGCTTAACTCAAAGCTACTAAGAAAAATGTCTGTTACAGCGTTGCTATGAGGACACCATAAATATCCCAACAGAACTCTTCACAAAACTAGATTAAGCAAAAAACAGACTGAAAACTGTTCCATGCTCTGTGCACTGCGACTGTCCCAGAGCAGCAGGCCCTGGGAGCTGTGAATGGGTGGGAAGGACAAATGGACCAGTGAGACACTTTTCCAAACACTGCTGTTCAGCACAGATGCCATGCAGGTTCCTCTCTTGGGTCATCTGGAGCCAAATCCAACAGCATAAACAGGGGCAGGAGAGCAAGCTCTTGCTTTTAGCACCCTGTTACGACACTGCGACTCTACAGAGGAGTGTGTGGGAAACCTTCTATTGCCTGTACTGAATGTGGCAGGGGAAAGAAACACTGACTTTCTGATACATAGTTTTTCTGCACACAGTTTTTGTCTGAAAAATGAAAACCATTTCGATGTTTCATTTTCTGCAGTAAGAAGCTCTTATTACAGACACTTGGAAAACAGAATCTGGATTCTGAACACTCCTAATTCTGAAAGACAACACAATCCAAACCCAAACCCTGTTCCACTTTGAACCTGAACCCTTCACTTCTCTGGTGTACTGAAAATATAGAAAAAAGATCTCTTAAAAAGTAAAGAACTCAAAAACCTCCCATCACCTTCCAAAGAAGAGAAATGTGAAAATAAAATCCTCAACCCCCTGCTGGTGCAGGAACATGGAACCAAGTGTTGGCACATGACTTGACAAATACTTTGCAATGACAAAAAAATCCAACTCCAAGTGCTTTGAGTAGGTAACACTTACCACAAGTTGACGAAGTTGATGAAACTTGGGGAGAATTCCCTTTCCTCTGAGTTACTCAGCTGTGGTGGGTCTCCTTTTACTACCTGCGTCAACTGGTCAAACACACTGTTCCACTTGGGGTATGGGAATCGCCCTGTGGCCAGCTCATACTGCAAGAAGACAGTAACAGCAGCAGATAGGTTACACAATCCCAAGTCCTTTCAGGCTAACAAAATCTCTACAGGGAGCCTGAAGGCCCCAAAGGAAAATTAAGATGAGATTCTCCCTCTTATCTCCTATGGCTGAGAGTTCAGCTGAAAGACAAGGAGTTCTGCTACCTACATCATGACTGTGTCCTAACTTACCCAGCTAATATTTAACCCAGCTATGCTGAACTTTCATGTGGTCGATGTCTCTCCTCTACTGACTATAAAATGAACCAAGGGTCTTTTAAAGACACTTCAGAAGGTGAAAATAAAATCCTCCAGTCCCTTCCCAGATATCATAATAACCACCATGGAAAAGGGATCCCGAGAAAACAAGCATTTTAAAACGGCTGAAGGGAGGGCAGCCCATTGATAGAAGCTACTGACTCACTGCTTCTGATTTCTCTTCTACTTCACCACCCCGAGAATGGGAAAACTTCTCAAGCAATCAGTGTTTGCATTTTGCAGTGTTGTGGTTAGTCAGAAATCAGCAACTGGGAACCAGGATTAACTGACAAACTGCACAGCTGGATTACCCCAGACACCAGGGCTGTGAGAGGCTTACAAAGGCTGGGTGCTTCTTCTGCACCACCACGATCACCATCCCTCCTCACATCAGATTCTGAAGACCAAATTCATTTACAACCCAGCACCTCTTCCCAGCTCACATCTCTACCTCTGGCTATGGCTGCAGCTAAACGTACCCTCAGGGGTTCAGGCAAGCCATGTGCCTTGAAGGGATTTATATTCCTTCCGAGCCAGGAGGTGCCCAGTTCATAACATGCTTCACTGCAGCAGAGCCGGGCTTCACTTCGAGCACATTTGACAACAATCAGCTCTGTCACACTGCCAAGTGTGTGACACCCAGCAGGGAACTGCCTTGCAGCAGAGGGCCTGAGCCCTGCTCACTCACCAATGTAATCCCCAAGCTCCAGACATCTGAGCGGACATCATAGCCTTGCCTGGACGCACTGGGATCTATCCTTTCCGGCTGGAACAGAAAGAAGTAACATTCAAGCACTGCGCCACGCAGGACAGAACGAGACACATCTGCAAACTTGGGAAACAAAAGTTCATCCCACCAGGACAACATTCAACCCCAACAGAGAAACACCTCATGTCCCTGAAGGTGTTCCAGACCTGCAGAGATGTGGCACTGAGGAATGTGGTTTGGCCGGCATTGCGGTGATGGGATGGTGGCTGGATGTGGTGATCTCAGGGGTCTTTTCCAGCCTCAGTGACTTTATGATTCTGTGACGTCTTCATGTTATCAGGCCTTCAAATATCCAAAAGATCTTCCCACAGAAAACGTGGACAGCAAGGCGGACACCTGCACCCCAGAGTGATCAGGGAGCAGGACTTTCTCAATGCTTTGCATGTCATCTTTATGAGAATGCCTTTTTTATCACAAATGTAATAATTAAAATGCTAAAAGAAACAGGATCACATTCTGATTTGACTGCAAACAACAATAGAGAGACCTGAACTGTAATTCAATACTAAATTATCAGCTGCAAGAAATATTAGGAAAGCCCCGACTGCTCTGTGAGCTGCATTTCCATAAGATTTCACGACAGATGCATACTGATGAGCGCCATGCAACCAACAAAATCCCTTAGTGCAACCTCAAACTTCCAGTGGACCACTGCATGTGTGAGAAAACAATCAGGTCCCCACAGCAGCTCCCTAGCCCCAGAGCCCAAGGCAATTTTGGCTGCTCTGTCCTGCTGCTAGCTTTCCTCTTTGCCACCCTCTGCTTGCACAAAGCAGCCCCAAATGTGCTTCCAAACCTTTTCCTTTTCCTCACTCATTAGGATCTTCTCTAACAAGGGCACACACTGAGGTCACCAATCAAACTATCAAACATACCCCAAAGAGAAAGGGAAGAACTCTCTCCCAGTTACAATATCTGCTTTGAAACAGGCTGGGTTCAAATGCCCTGAATGCTGTCTTTCAGGGTCACAGAATCACAGAATCATTAAGGTTGGGAAAGACCACTAAGATCATCTGGTCCAACCATCAACCCACCCTTCCCATGCCCACCAGACCAATCATGGGCTGCCTGAAGAAAACGTGGGGCTTTGTGGGTTAACAGATAACAGCAGTGGGAAGGGAAAATGCAATCTAATATTCTCTGATGGTTTCGAGATGCTGGAATGGTCTTCTTGGATGGATCAAATAGTACAAAAGGAAATGTGTAAGAAATGGGTTAGAGGGCAATATTAGTGGTAGGTGGCCAGCTGGACGAGATGATCATAGAGGTCTTCTCCAACTTCTGTGACTCTGTGATTCTATTATTCTTTCCTGCCCTCTCAGGTCTGTATGTCGCCTTGTTTTCTTATCCTTTAATTATGATTTTCATTTGTTTTAACCTCATGTTTTAGATTTTCCCATTGATGGGGCACTGCTGGATGGATTTTTCAATAATACTGGTGGAAATGAGCATAGAGTAATAAAATTGGTAAAATTAAACTCTCTTGAATTATCAGTTCTTCATGTACTCACCTGGAAGCTCAGTCAAAATCTATCACATTTGCATTACACATAAACCCATGCTTCTGACTTCTCACAATCCAGAATTCTATCATACCTGGATAAGCACAGTCTTTTCATATTGGTTTCCCCATTTAAACAGTACTGAATCAAATTATAAGGAATTAACAGCTAACACAAACCCTTTCTTTTACAGGTGGAAAACAGAAATGTAAAGACAATTTTTCCAACATTTTGAACCTGAGATAGCAAGGAAAACATCCCAAAACAGTAGAAGGGATGAGGATTTAAATGGAAAATGTACTCTGAGATCCTGTCACTCATTGATTTGAGGGGAAGAAAGACAGATAGCCGGTGACCATTCAGGATTTGGATGCTCTTGGACATTTCAGGAAGCTACTGGAGATTTCAGCCAGAAGTAAAGCATCTAAAGGAGGAGCCAGTGGGTGCACAGAACACTGGTTCATATTCAGGCTGGAGAAGAACAAGAGGAACTCGTCCTTCTACTCTGCTCAGAAGTAACAGGTCCAACCAATCCAAAGTGCTCTCAGCGCGTTTCCATCAACAGTCCAAAAAGGAAATGGAAAATGCCAGCACAACAGAGGACAGAAGAATGTGGCATCAACAACATGCAGTGTGGAACCTTCTGCCACAGAAGAGTTTCTGGTGACTCTCTCATAAATCTCTCAAGGACGATGCTGTGTCTATCCTGTCCATTCTCAATGTCATGCTGTAGCTGCAACCCCCCCACAGCCTTGTCTGCCCACAGCTCCCACACAGCCCCCTCCGGCATGTCTGATCAGCAGACACACAAGAATAGCCTGACTCCAGCTATGAGCAATTGAGTCCCGGCCCAATGCCACGCCAGGGTACAGCACTGCTGGGACTGTGGCCCCATGACTCTACTGCTTTCCCTCTGTGCAAAGCTCTCCTTACCTCCATCCCTCCTGCCAGACCCTGGGGGCATCATGCTGCCTACCGGGTTCCAGCAGCAGGTGGGAAGATAAGATCTCTGAGGTCCCTTCCAGCCCGAACCTTTCCATGATTCTGTTCTATGATTCTGTAAGTCTGAAGTACCCACAGAGGGGCAGCCACCCCCCACGAACACACAGAGTGTGACGGAGCAGCAGGGACTTGGCTCTACATAGCCATGGCACAGCTAAAGGCAAAGCACAATGGACCAAAATAAATGCCCTGTAAATACAGAGCAAAAAATCCTGGGCATTTTCCATGTAGAGGACATGGGAGCAATCAGCACCAAGCACTCAGGGACCTAGGATGAGAACTGCAGGCAAACCTCAGTTCTTGCTGGATGTCTTGCTAATGCCAACTGCAAGCAAGGAAAGGAAATGGCCGGGACAGACCAAGCCCTGGATGTGCTGCTGACTGTGTGAAGAGGCAGAGTAAATACAGCACAGGGACAGCCTGACACAGGGCTCCCTTCACTTAGTGCCCACCTGAGCACCAGCATCTGCACTGACAAAAGAGCAGAAATGGGAAAAGCTGATGCTCCCCTCTCTTCCCAGCCCAAGATAAGCAGACACGTGCAATTTGGGGTGGGACACAAGAACAGATGCACATACAACTTGCTGCATTTCTCAGTTGTTTCATGTTGCTGAAGAACAAAACAGTATTCCTAGGAAAACAAAATTCTTGAAGCTCAGATTTGGATTTTCACTAGTTAAATAATCAGGGAATTTCTATCCTACACACGCTGCAAATTCAAAACTGCCTGCATGGCACGAAACTGTACTTAACACATCCTTATTTGCTACTTAAACCAACACGTTCCCAAAGTAGAAGACAATAAAAAGGTTACAAGGAGTGAAGAACTACCAGAAAGCAATCCGTGGAATCCAAAATACAGAACAGAACTGACAGGATGTAAATGCTCCCTCCTCTTCCACCACAGAAACACATGGATGTGAGCTGAAGCTGCCAGCCTCCAGTGCAGCCCACCTGCCCTCAACACAGCAGCACGCAATGAGAAACACTGGACGTGAAGCCCAGGGACTGCCCTGCCTTTGGTGGATGATGGGAGCAGGTAAAGCCCTGCACATCTGGAAGCTGCATGTGACGGCTGCAGATTAGAGCTGTCTCTGCCAAATTCTGCTACACAGCATACAGTGAGCTAGCTACAAGCCAGCAGCCAGAACTAATAGACCTCCACGGCTCCAACAGTGACTGGATACAAGTTTTGCATGCAAGAGACAGAGCTCCCCAGCACACTTTTCTGCTGCTTTGTTAACCAGCGGATCAAATATGTTTGTGTTTAGGCAGTGCTCCAGAAAGTGCTGTTTTCCCAGCGGTGATAACCCCATCACCACGGCTTTCTCATCAGCAGGGCTGTGCCCTGCGAGGGCTCAGTGCTCACAGGGAACCACGTGTCACTGTGCAGAGTCACAGCAGCCACAGGGCAGCTGAACAGCTGCCTGTGGGGCTGTGCAATAGCAATGGAAACCATCTTTAGGAGCATAAATAAACAGTTTGGGAAATTCTTCTGCTGTTCAGTAAAGGAAAATGCTGCCACTCCCTTTTCACGTTGCTGTATTTCTCAAGAATATTCCTGCAGCAAAGAGCAATTTGTTCTTCCTTTACGGCTCTCCCTGCACGGGCCTCACACAATTGGTTGTGTTGGAGTTGGAGCAATGGCCAACCTCAGTGAGAGCCCAGGCGGAGGGAAGCAGTGTGCTGAGCAGGGCAGCAAGGGAGCACTGACCTGCTGGGCTCCCAGACCTGCTCCTCTGCTAACTCCTCCAGAGCGCCAGCATGCAGACTCACCTGCTCACCAACACCTCCAAATGTTTTATTCCACAAAGGAACTCCTTCCTTGGCCTCTCCCCAGGCTGGGCTCACCCTATGGTTAGGAGGGCCCTCATCTCTCACCTCCCCAGAGCATGCTCACCTGGCTAACCTCCTAGACAAGGGGAAGCCCTGCTGTGCAAGGTGTCTGTGCCCAGAGCCCTCCCTGCTGCCTCCTGAGCAGAGCTGGGTGCCAAGCAGCAGCCCTGTACAGAGACACAAAGCAGCACCCAGCTGCTCCTGCTGGTGCTGCTCTGCAGGATGACTCGGGGCACTCTATGAGGTGACATTGAACTGTGCTACTGGCTGCTAAAGAGTTGAGGTGTCTAATTTCATTTGGATCTTGATTTTTATGTGCAGTGAAGCCCAATAAGCTTCCTGGATCTCCTCAGAGGCCTGAGGGCTCTCAGAAGGTGACCTCAGTGCTGCATAAGCCTTGCTCTAAGAACACAAATGTGAGTCATCCACACAAGGAGTGAGACAACACAACCACATTTTTCTCAGGTTATACCCTTCCTGCCCATCAGGTGGCTGATGAGAAAGTGATTAACTCTTTCTTTTCTCTGGTCTGTATGGCAGAGCCAATCACTACAGGGATCACAGATGGCTTCATTTGGAAGAGACCTTAAAGATCACTTACTTCCAACCCCCAGCCATAGGCAGAGTTGTCAGCCACCAGCACAGGCTGCCCAGGAT